TTTAATAATAATATGCAGAACCAACTCTCCACATCAGACCCCTGCTTATAACAAATTAATTCCTCAAATTTGGTATAATCGACCTAAATTATTTTGTAAAATAAAAGTTTCGAACTTACTTGTTCCATTCTTTATTTTATAAAATAATTTATGTGGAAATCATTTAAAATTTAATTTAAAACTACTACCTACTCCTAAAAATTACAATTTGAATTTACCGCCATCTGTCAATTGTCATTTTAGTTCCAGCTCCAAACACAAGGTGGCGCTAATTTGGTTTAAAAGTTTAACATTGGCGTGGGGTCTCTAGAAGATACGTGCTTTGTGGTCTTATGTTCCATCTAAGGTTTGTATAATCTAAGTGTAAGAGAAAGGTAAGGGGCAATTACAAAAATGTATTTATCTTTAAATAGTGTTTATTATTAATAATATTATTTGCTATGTTTGAAAAGTACCTCCTGCTTCCGAACAGATCAGACTACTAGTTGGAGAAGGTCCACCTATGGTGCGTTTGATTTGATCATCGGAGATCTCCGAGCGCTGCAAACGTGTTTGAATTGACACTCCGAGAGATCCCTAAAGTGTTTGTTTTGCTTTGGAGCGAGAACATAGAGCGAGCTCGATGTTCTCAGAGCAGATGGATCGAGAAGAGGGAGAAATTTGTCTTTGTCTCTACCTATCTCTTTTTAACTAACTTACAAACAAATTTGAATCTCAAAATTAAAGACCAGACAAGAAGTCAACAAATTACTTAGCCGCTTTTGTCTTATAGCTAAAATTATTCGTCATAAAAAACACAAAATGTGTGTTTGGAAAATACATTTTCTCTGTCCAGATCTAATCACCAGTAATCACAGGCATGGAGTATGAGAGCGAAGCGGGCATTTGTGGTATATGCTGCATTTCAGGACCATTACCCCTTATTATTAAAAGTTTTTCCATTTTCTTTACTTTTTGCTCACTATTTTGACCTGTGATTTTGACAATCACAAAAAGCGAGGTTATATTTTTTACTCTCTTTTATTTGATTTGATTCAATGCTCTATTGTGACGTCATCACTTCTCGGTCTCCTCGACGCTCGCTCGATCGAGTTTCAAATCAAACGCCCCTCTAGTAACCAAATTAGGAGACTAGGAAAACTTTTACATGACTGGAATGACACAACAGGAATGGACACACACAAGATACACAAACAAACGAAATAACAGGGGTAAGCCTTCAGCAATGTCCTGTTTATGGTGCGTTTGATTTGATCATCGGAGGTTTCCGAGCGTTGCAAACGTGTTTGAATTGGCACTCCGAGAGATCCCTAAAGTGTTTGTTTTGCTTTGGAGCGAGAACATAGAGCGAGCTCCATGTACTCAGAGCAGAAGGATTGAGAAGAGGGAGAAATTTGTCTTTGTCTCTACCTATCTCTTTTTAATTTAGCTACAAACAAATTTGAATCTCAAAATTAAAGAACAGACAAGAAGTCAACAAATTACTTAGCCGCTTTTGTCTTATATCTAAAATTATTCGTCATAAAAAAATGTGTGTTTCGAAAATACATTTTCTATGTCCAAATCTAATCACCAGTAATCACTGTCATGGAGTATGAAAGCGAAGCGGTCATCTGTGGTATATGCTGTATTTCAGGGCCATTACCCCTTATTATTAAAAGTTTTTTAATTTTCTTTACTTTTTTCTAACTATTTTGACGCACAAACAGCCCTCAGAAAGTCTAGATACCGCTTGGCGTATACAGGAGTGCGTTTAGAAACCCCGCACGGCGCGTCTGACCACATGCATTAGAATAGGGCCCAGACGCGCCGTGCGGGGTTTCTAAACGCACTCCTGTCAATACAAAAAAATGACCCCATTCAAGCTTGTCGCCATGTTATTAGGTAAATTTATGTTTTGGCTACACTGATTTTTAGTTTGTGTGTTCTGTAATACGTGAACACCGATAATCTGCACTTTGTTATAAGTGAGTGAGACGCACAATTTCTAATTTCAAATTAAGAACAAAACTTTGACAAACCTATTTGATTTTCCTAGATCTGTTCAGACAGGACCGGTTTTATAAAATTTCTCGTTCTTGAAATGTTATTTTTACATGGTTATATATTATTGGATAAGTGGTTTGTGTACATATTGCTATGAGAATTATAGAGAAATTCAGTGAGATTTATGTAATATAATTCAAATTACAAGTAAACCATCTGTTCCTGTTTGGCAATATGGAGAAAATACCTACTTCAATGTCAAATGTACTATTTAAAAGAATGTGATTGTTAACCGGTCATTTATTTATATTATGAAAATAAAAAATCGAATTTTTTAACTAGGGAAAGATATACTTACATCGGTAACAAGGTATTTTTAGAAAAACTAATAGATTACTCCTATTCCTATAGTTTATTTGAAAATGAATAATAGCAAAATTATATAAAAATTTGGACCTTTGCCATAAAAACTGTGCTACCAAGCATTTTCAAATAAACTATAATGATAATTTGATTTAATAGAGCGAGTATAAGATCTCACCTGTTAGAGAAATTGGGGCATAGGGAAGAGATTATGAAGCAGGTAAGCGAAGTCATTGCAAAAGATAAATATATAGAAGTTATTTTAAAAATTTGATAAAAAACTAGTGGAACAAGAAATGGAGTTGTCGCTATCGGAGATCCAATCAGCAGAAAGTAAAAAAAAAACTTTGGGAATGTTGGAAAAGGGCACAGCAATAGGCCCAAAACAATTCCTTGGTTTTTTAATAAATATAATCTGAGATGCAAAAAATACTGCTAGAGTGGAGAAGCAGTATTGTTCTAATGTAGAAAACCCAGGGACATACAGCAGTGCACTAACCATAGGCGAATAGTCACTAAATTATACAAGAGTCCCATCTCGATTTTATTTTTAAATATTTTTGAGAATACCTATTATTATTTGTTACATTGAGTTTAATAAAACCACAGATTTCGAATGTATTGAAAGTTATTTAAAAAGCACCTCTATAAATATATAGAAAATGTGTATATGACTAACTGGTTTTATTAATCTTTTTTTGGGGTAGGTAAATATATTTTGAAAAATTTACAAACTTCTTTTGAATAAAAGACAAAATATTTCTGTTTTTATTAACTGAACAATATTTTATACGAACATAATATATACCTATTTAAAAGAAAATATTACATTTTACAAGTATCGCATATTTATATGAAATAACTAACTCAATAAGAAAGAATTAAATGAAACAAATTAATAAACAATGGATATGAAAAATTGCTATTACAATTTAATCCTTAGATAAACTTATTCTTACATATTGCTTTAATCAATTTATTTACTATAAAAGTATATTTCCTATCATTTATTACATATAATAAAATAAAGCATAAAACATACAAACTATAATATGTACCTACTTAGAACGGAACTAATATTATTGTATCAAGGTAGTAATAGTGGACATTTTCCGAATAAAAAAAAGTAAAAAAGAAGTAACGGTCGACACGTTTTTCTGACTATTGGTGTTCATCAGTACGGTGCAGTCAAGTTCAAAGGATCATGGAACTTGTGTTGGAAAAATTATACAATAAGTCACTAACAAGGAGCCAATAACACATTTGCCGTTTCAGCTAGTATCCCCAAATTTTCTGGGCTTATACTAAAGTCACAAAATGATTCAATGGTCTTCCTATGGCTATCAGTTATTCTTTCCTAACATTTTTTGGTATGCTACAACAAAACATACAAATTATTTGATTTTGTAAATACACAAATATTTGTGAAAACTTACACATGAAATGTTATTCCTTCCTTGTATCTTCTACCGTTAGATGCATTGTTACATTCACGTACAAAACAAAAAGAGATGAAAATCCTGTAAAAATTTAACACCAAACCACAAATGTTTTTTATTAAAATAAAACACTAAACGACTAAACTAAAAAATAATGTTTTAAATAAAACCTTTACTAGAAGAACAAAATAAACAACACAACAGATAATAAAATCGATTATATACGTCGAACGCCGATCTTACGCTTATTACTAAAGCCTTGGTTTCTTTGAACACTCCGACGCGGTGAGCGGACTGTCCGTCGACCGTCGCGTTTTGACGATTTTATCTAACCAGAGTATTTAAATGGGAACGGTTTTCTCGAATCCGCTTAGCTGAGCAGGACGGCGTCATGCCGCTGATTTGTCGCGACTAGTCGGTTCATATCTGTTGAGTTTGATATCGGCGGAATCGTCGGAGTGTGCGGAGACAGTGTGTGAATACAAATAATTATATTGTTATTATTTTTTAAACAATTAGTGACAAATTCACACATACAGATCATGAAATTTTAATAGATTTGGTTCGACAACATCCTCCTTTATACAGTGTGACAGGAAATGTCGTCCTTTACAAAACTCAACAGTACAGTGATATTAAAGGCACCTTCTGTATTGCGACACAAAAATAAACTTATCCACTGGCTTAATTGAAACTTTAACTGTTGCAATTGCCAGTTCCTCTTCTTCTTCCTCCTCTTCCAACAAAAATAACAACGAACCAATTTATTTTAGTACCTTTCGTTTCTACTCATAATACATAAACAGCACATACAGACATAAAGGAAGTCTCATTTTCTATATTTAAACAAACCACCTTGGGCGAAAATCGCTGTCCTCAGCGGTCGACGGAGTATCTGCTCATCGCGACGGAGTGTTCAAAGAAACCAAGGCTTTAAACTTGCGCCGATTCTGTCTTGTCAGTAGTGCCAACTTAAAATTTATTGACATTTATTTATCATGGCGCCCATCATATGGGGGGTCAAAATGTTTTTACGATGCGGTATCTAGACCTTCTGAGGGCTATGCGCACAAACCAGAAACAAGAATCACAAAAAAGCGAGGTTATGTTTTTTACTCTGTTTTATTTGATTTGATTCAATGCTCTATTGTGACGTCATTACTTCTCGGTCTCCTCGATCGAGTTTCAAATCAAACGCCCCTTTAAATGATGATCAGTGTTGTTCCTGGTTGTACAATTGTACAAAATGTGGTACAATCACTCATGTGGTTGTACTGTGGTACGCACTCTCGGAAAAAGTCGGAAATGTTGTACAATTTTGTATTACCATTTTTATTACGAAATGTGTATTTCCGCAAAGTGGTTGTATGTTTTACTATGCAATAGGTCATGTTTATGTTTATTGAAAATTAAAAAGATGAGACTGGCAGATGTCAATTATTAGCCTGTCACTCTTGTTGTCAGTTGTCAGTTAGTACTCACAGAACACAGACAGACGAGTAAGTGTTCTGTGAGACAGACCACGGGGAAACCCAACACTCCCAATAGGATACCTTCCCGAACGCGAGAACCAAAAACTACTATTATATAATCAATTTTTAAGGAATATAAATATGGATAAGTAAGTGAATCTTTATTTAATTGTACTTTTAATTATTAAAAAATGCGAATCCACTTTTATAGGTACTTAATAAAAATAAGCGAAACTCAAAATGATACATCACTGGCATCCACTTCTAGTTTTGAAAATGCAGATCATGATTATGGCTTTGAAAATGCAGTTCATGAGTATGGATTTGAAATGGATGAAAATATATACGAACATGAAGTAGTAATTGAAACAGATAGTTTTGAAAAAAGTGAAAAGGAAAATGAACAGGATACACACAAAAGATCCAAACGAAAATGGAAAAAATATATTCCATCATCAATTGAAAAATTAGCCAATGAATATTCATGGATAGATTCTACGAAGAAATTTGTATTTTGTAAAGTATGCTCCCTCAAACTGGCAGGTGGACGATTTCACCTAAATCGACATAGCAATAGTATAACCCATATAAATAATATATGTCTAGCTAAAACGACTGTTAATATTGACAAATTTCTAAAAAAAAAACTGACAAATACGGATTTACAAATAAAAGAAGCGGAACTAAAAATGTGTTGTTATATGTGTGAACACAATTTATCATTTCTATTAATAGACACACTTCCCCTGTTAAATAAAAATATTTACCCTGATTCATTAATAGCTAGTGGAGTGAATATGAAAAGAAAAAAAGTGACGGGTTTAATTGTTGAAGTTTTGGCACCATATTTTAAAAAACAAATATTGCTTGATTTAAGAAAGAACAATTTCTCAATAATAATTGATGAGACAACAGACGTTGGTACAAAAAAATGTTTAGCCCTTGTTGTGAGATATTGGAATGAAGGGACTGTAAAAGACAGATTTCTTGAATTATTAGAAATAAAACAGTGTACAGCAGAAGCAATATTTAACTGCATTAGAGAATTTTTTGACTCAAATAATATTCCTTTAAAAAATATTATTGGTTTAGCTGCTGATAACGCCAGCACAATGATGGGACACTTATCAGGCGTTCAAAAAAGATTCAGAGATATTGTGCCTCATATTTATGTGCAAGGATGTACTTGTCATTCTTTGCATCTGTGTACCTCCTCTGCAGCAAAAAAATTACCTAATACTGTGGAACAATTTACACGAGATATATATTCATATTTTTCAAATAGTAATAAAAGACAAGAAGAATTACAGGAATGTCAAGTATTTTTTAATGAAAGGCCACATAAAATGTTATACCCTAGCCAGACCCGTTGGTTATCTTTGATTGTAAGTAGTATAATAAGCTAATAGGAATATAATTTAATTTTTTTTTTTAAGGCTGTAGTCGACAGAATATTAGGGCATTGGGAATCTTTAAAATTATTTTTTTCAAGAGCGGTTGCCAATGATAACTTGCCACAAGCAAAATCTGTTTTGAATGCTTTAAATAATCCTATATATAGACTGTACCTACTTTTCTTGTCATATATTTTAAAACTGGTGACTGATTTGAATGTGGAATTACAAAGCGAGAAACCGAAAATTCCAATTTTGCTTTCTAGGGTGATAGCTTTGTATAACACTATTTTAAAATGTTTTATAAAAAAAGATAACAGAAGTAAATTTAATAAGGTTCAAGAGATCAATATACACAATCCTTCCAATTATGTATTGATTGAGAATTTGTATATCGGGGCAAAATCTGATATTTTCCTCATGCAGAATCTTGATAAGATACCAAAAGAGGATCTTCACAGTTTTAGAGTGCATGTACTTAGTTTTTTTATTGAATTAGCAAATCAGATTAAACAACGCTTCAACTTTGAAGATCAACATTTAAAATATGCTGCTAATTTTTGTGTTAAAACAGCTATGTCTGGTGAAATAAAATCAATTGCTGTCTTTTCAATTTTGTTTCCTGATATTGATTTGGATGTAGAAGCTGTAAACACAGAATGGCAAATGCTAAGTGAGACTGATTTGGGGATAAGTAATAATGACTCTTGTTCTTTAGATTTTTTTTGGGAAAAAGTCTCTAAAGCTAAAAATTCACTAGATGAATTTATGTTTCCCAATCTTATTAAAGTAGTCAAAATAATACTGTCACTACCCCACTCATCAGCCACAGCAGAGAGAGTATTTTCAGAATTAAATCTAATTAAAACGTCTATTAGAAATAAACTGTTAGTAAAAACATGTTCCGCAATCTTAAATGTAAAAGATGCAATGAAGTTGGTAAAAGGTGGTTCTGTGTCTTGGCGTGCAAGCCGAGAGGCTTTAAATTATAATGAATCCACTTATAAAAATTATTTAGATGAAAACATATGAATTTAAACTGATAATTCTGCCCAGAAGTTTGTATTTTTCGAGAGTGTTATTTTTTAGTTTTTTATACCTCACTTTCTTAATTTATTTTATTTATGTTTTTTTTTTTCATATTCTAGGTTGTAGAAAAAATGTTGCAAATGAAAAGTTAACTAGCTTGAGTGATATTTTGATTTATACGAGTACCTATATTTAATGTTAAAAATAAATTCGTTTTTGTTTACATTTTATCAAAGACATTTTTATTTGCCATTTACTTCTGTCCAGAAGGTCTTTTACCTAATTAAAAATTCAAATTTGGCGCCGTTTGTGTCCAATCAGGTAGATCCTTTAAAAAAAAACGAAGAAATAAAGTTTTTAACAAAAAAGAAGAAGAAGTTGTACAATCGAGCATAAAAGTGTACAATTTTGACATTGAGAGTTGTACAATTCCAAAATCCCTAGGAACAACACTTGATGATAGTATGTCAATGTCATCCTTCATTCCCTTTTAGAAGGCATGGCATATAAATCAGAGATAAGACATAGCAGATGGTTTCAATCATATACAAAACTTGTCTACGCGTTTTGGACCGATTTTTGGCACTCGTTGCGCATCGCGCATGGTGGTTCAACATTGAACTATAAACGACTGACAATAGTGACAATTACGTGAAGGTAGTTCTTACTCAACGACCATAAACTATGACAGTCACTTATAATTGGTCATTAACATATTTCAATCGGTCATGTCACATTTCAACCAATAGCGTAATCAGTGTAATGTCTTATAAATGCTATTTGTTTGTACCTTGTTCCATAATTTCAACAATTAACATAACCTATAACTAAATAAAATTCTGGAAATTTATTTAATCGTGTTTAATACATGAATTGAATATATTAAGGTAGGAAATAAATATATTTCTACTACAAATTTTTAATAAAGTAGTTCTTTGTTATACTTAGAAGTTCACACTATGTGTAAATCCTTATTATCTTTATATCAGTCCATGCAACGTGGCCTAACCAATTTCTGTATTTATTTCAGTTTAATCATGTCTCATGTCCAAACCCAAGACAAGAGGGGATGCTATGAAAAAAGGAATTCAGAATGAATAGATCAGAACATGGATTCTTATATGTGCGAACTTAAAACGTTACGTGTTGAATAGATAAAGACATTACATAAGAATGGCAGTCTGTCGATGAAGATAGGTGTCTCAACATAATATGCTGTATTGAAAGATGAGAATCCACTGCAGGTCAGGATACTAAGGCAATTTTATGTGCTGGCGACTAAAAATTGGAGTTACTTTTTAGGTACAACATAATGAGATGAATATTATAATATTAAAGTTATCATAGTTTTAAATAGCAGTCTCATATTCATATATTCTCTTTTGGCGTTTTCTGAATGTTTTCTTTTTTAAAGCTTGAAATACTTCCTTATATTTATGAATATTAAATGGTACTAAAATATCCAACAGTTTATTTAAAATTATGCGACAAAATATTCTTGACAAATAAAGTAAAAGCAATGGTTTTTTAAATTACTGTGAGTGACTTAAGTGATTTTTTTACTATTTTGTGAAACCATAGAATTTTTATTTCAGTATTTTGTGAGTGATTTTAATGATCATTTTTAGATTTTTTGTGTCACTGCTGCAATAAAAAATGTGTTCTTTATGTACATTTACTTAATACCTTCTGTTTAATGACATTACCTTTACAAAATATAAATTTGTAGTAAATGAGTTTGTAACATTGTACCTAAATCGATATTTTTTGCAATTTTGCAAAAAATATCGAGTTTGTGTACAAAGTTACAAATTTGTATTGCTAAGTTTTTCAATGCTGCCGCCTAAATTTAAATTAAAGAAAATCTGCATTACCGGTAAATATCTAGTTCCCGCTCGTTGCCAAGCGTGTCGTCACAGTCAACGCGCATGGAACATGCTTCCAGAAATTTGTATTAGAATTGTCACTCTGTTAATGTCTTCTCTCTGATATAAATCTATTGATCTTGATTACTATAAGAGGAGTTAGCAGGTTTCGATCCAGTTTACAGGATGGGAACTTACTTGACTCGGGCCTTATACATTTGTGTTGAGTGTATGTGTGTTTCATTTCCATGGTTTCTCTAAGCTTAGTCTTAAATAGATGAGTAATACGGACCATACCTGATGATGAGGATCTGATCTCCTCGAAACCGGTCGTATTAAATTACTCTTGTGAGATCTTAAGGACCACCCTTGTTTTATTTACCTCTTTTTTAAAAAATAAGGTTTAAAAATTCTTGTCGGGAGTAATTACCCCCAATACCACTGCAATACTATGATCACAGACCTATAGTTTGTTGCTGTGATACCTATGTTATGTGGTTAAAAATGAACAAGTCCTCAGGAAACAAATTATTTAGAATATTCTATAGAGTAGAAGAGAATAGAGATTATTGAGATACCAGTTTCGCTTCTGTGAGGCTTACGTATTTTCGCATTTTCATTTAAAACTGATTTTGCAAACATAACCCAGTTTCAAAATACAGTACTTATTTTGTATTGGGCATAGCCGTGCTTTTACAGTGAATATGTGATAACTACGATATCCCCTAGCTATGTTCTCTGGTTTAGTCACCGATATTCGGTTCAGCTAATATCTCACCACCATATTTTCTAATTCTAGTCTATCGCGACCACTGGTTGTTGCCGTGTTGCCATTTTATTAATTTGTGTACTAGTCCTATGTCTAACATGAAAAAATAAGCACTGTATTACTCAACATTTTTAATATGAAAATTTAATTAATCATATCTTCAAACTGAAACTGTTCCTGCTTTGTAGGGTATTTCAACAAATTGGATTTAATACTAAAATTAATTTGAATATGCAGCTGATAAACTTACTGGTAATTTTAATTTTAGAAATAAAAATCTGGGTCATTTGGAATGAGAATCATGGCAAATAAAGTACAGCATTTCTAATTATATCTTTATATTCAATCATGTACAAAGACAAACAATTAAAAAAAATACGCGATACGTGTTATAAATTGTTTTAAATACTCCCTTAAATTTACAGTTATTCTTATCGTTCAAATAGTAAAAACTTAATTTATTCTTCGTCGTCCTCCTCTCCACCAGAATTTTGTTTATCATCTTTCTCTTCTTCACTGTATATTTGACCTTCTTCCTGTTCTTCATCATCGTCACCAGCAACTTCAGCATTTTCAAGTTCTGCCCTTTCCATTTGTTTAACAAGTTCTGCTTCATCTGTAGCTGTTACTACTTTAGGCTAAAAATAAACAAGTAAACCTAAATTTTATTGAAGATTTATTTATGTAAAATATAAATTTTTAAATTGAAGGCGAGTACAGTGGTTGAAGCCTTGAAAATGTAACAACAATGTTGGATTTGTTCAGAGGATCAGTAGACATGAAGATACATTTCTGTTAATACATTATTTAAATTATTGTATACGACTTTGGCCAAGTCAAATTTAGAATAATGCTGTTCTGTCTGGTTCTCACAATTACATTTATTGCATTAATCACAATGAGAAGGTACAACGAAAATATTCTCCAATTAAACATGCAAACATTGGAAAATTGACTTGGTTTTTATATAAAATTTTTAATGGTATTAAAATATCCAATTCTATGCCATTAAATATAATACTTTTCAATGTAAATAAAAGACATACAGAGAAGATTTAACTATTTCTTATAACTTTTCATCAACTAGGGATAAAATGAAACTAGGGATGCACATGATGATAAAAACATTGATTTTTCTATTTCGTTTTTTTGTTTTTTTTTTTTTGTTTTTTTTTTTTAACTTAACATTTAAATTTAAACAGGATCAAGTAAGTATTACCAAACTAAAAGTGTCCTATTTTTTATTGATAATAAATTAATCATGTTATTTATAAATTAAACATAATATATATAAATCATTTATTTAGTCTCAAACTAATTAATTAGGTACAAAGTGTATAAATACAAATACAATATAAAAAATCAATGTTTTTCTGAATTATTTTTACTTTCTTAGTTTGTATCCTATTAAGTTTATAATTGTTCTTTCATATTTATTATGAAACTTTTAATAATAATACCTAAATAAATATATTCAACGGATCGAGCTAGAGCTAAAAGTCACACTATAAGTCTTTTACAACTGCATTTAATTGATTAAAATATTTGCTAATAATAATAATTATACTTACACCCATTTGTACATTGAACACACCACCTAATTCAGTTATAGAGGCTTTTACTTTTTCTATTGCTTCATTTAGAACTTTCAGTCCATCCTGCTTTTCAGGTGTTGAGGTAGTCATTACTAAAAATACAATTAACTTAATAAAATTAAGACCCCATAATAATTGCAATTGTTGCAGAAGATATATTATGGTAAATTGGCAAATACTTACCATATAAGGGAGGGGCAATTAAATTAATTTTAATGGGAAGTTCCTCTGTTGAAAGAGCTAGACCAGCTTTTAGAGCAGTTTTGACAGCATCAATACCTTCATACCCATAACAAGCACATTCAATGTCAGCTCGGATTTTAACAGCTTGAGATGTTAATTTCCTCTTAATATTGCTCAATAAGACTTCTTTTGTCTTTTCATCTAAATCACATTCAGCCAAAATAGTTGGATCACTACAAAATATAAATGTTAATAAATATTTTCTTATATTTGTTTATCCCTTTTATAATTTGTAATAAGGTGGCACAATTTGTTTTCATGTATAAAACCATTCCAATATAAGGTAATCCTGCTGTTTAGGTTGCCCTGTATTGTGCATGTGTTGGCATACTTGCATCATTCATTTCTACTTTGAATGTTAAGGGTATAGAGAAAGTAAAAGTTGAAAAGTCTTTTGGTAGGTAGAGAGGGGGTAAACGTCAAACAACCTCGGGCGCCTCCGAGAATTTCACAGTAATGTTTACCTGCCAGTGTCGTTTCATAGAATAAGTAATTGTAAATTGTTATCGGCGGAACCGGACAATGGCATGTATTTATGGATTATAAATAATTATTAAACATGTATTATAATATTCAAATTATAATTTTACAAAATTTCAACAGCTATTCACAATTTATTAAACTATTTACTCGAAATTGTTATTAACATCTATAAAATAATTTTGTACGCCAATGTATCGCGTCCACTTCAGTGAGATCAGGAGTGCGTTTAGAAACCCCGCACGGCGCGTCTGGGCCCTATTCTAATGCATGTGGTCAGACGCGCCGTGCGGGGTTTCTAAACGCACTCCTGCTGCCAACCTGTCAATTTATGTGTATAAAGTGGGAGAACTGGCAAAAGCATTTCCAACTTTTACTTCTGCTTTAAGGAATATCAGTTTTTCAGAAAAAAAAAAAACATCAAAAATTCTAAAATTATTATAGTATATTTTTGTTAAAAATTAAACTTCCTTATTCCAGTGAACACCACAAGACTAGCTCGTACACAATCCGCGGCGTCGTAAACGGCTGGTTTACCCAATATTCTTATAAAATTATAAACTAACAAATTTAGGGTTAGGTTTTAAATTACACTTTAAATAAGTCAAATGCTATCAAAAAGTATTGCATCATTCTTTTAAAATATAAATAAATCTAGTTTTTCAAATACTTATAGCAACAATTAATCTTAGAAACGGACAGTTTTCAGTTAAAAACCAAATACACAGGTATTTAATACTTACAGCACAGCTTGTTTGAAAAAGTCATAAGCACTAGCTTTGTTTTTCTTATATTTCTCCTCAAAATACCATGCTGTCTTTTGATACAGTTCTTCTAACTGCTCATCTGATTCATACTTTAACAGCTCAGCAACATGTCTTAAAATAGAGTTAACAGCTTTTGCTTTAGCAAACCTTTCAGTGCATTTTTCTACGTCTTCAGCACTAACTCTTCTTTTGGACAAATCTATGTACCCTTTTTCTTTATCTACTCGTATAACTACGACTGGTTCTGTTTTTCCTACCCTAATCAACTTGTTAATAGACCTGATACGCCTTCTCGACAATTCCGAGAGCAAAATCATACCCTCTATATTGTTGTATTCTAGTAAATGAACGTAAGCTCCCATTTCGGCAATAGCACGTACATTTACCATTACTACATCTTCCACTTCAGGGTATTTTTCTTTATAAAATCGACACGAAAGCGGCATTTTGATTCAATTTTCAATATGCTAAAATTTGAGGTTAGATTCTATTGTCCAATCGCAAAATCAAAAGAAAGCTGGAAAATAAGGAATTTATTTATTTTTTGAGTTCCAATCATGTACTTATTATTATTTATTGATAATAAAATTAATAAAACTAATAGTTTACAAATGTGACATACCTTCACGTGTGCAAAATCACAAAATCACAATCACAAACTTTTTGCTTTTCCCCTATGCTTTTCCCTGGAGTAGTGGCTACGTGTACAATCTACAGATTTTTAAGGAATTTATCAGATAATTTAGTAAAATTATTATTTTAGAAGCTAATATATAAATAGTTATATACTTGTTTAATTAAATTGTCGATATTCCATAAAGAGAGCCATTCTATTAAATAATAAACTATTATAAAATTAAATATTTTTTCAAGTATTACTATTACGACAGACGGGTGTATAAGAGTCTTCTTCTTTTTTTCTAGTTTATTCGTGGCAATATCACTAACTTCAGATGAAAGAAGAAATATGTCAGGTCCGTACACATCACAGCTTTGTCCCAACATCTCACAAAACCGTAATATTACGGTCATCGTCATGCGCAGTAAATAAAAACCGTTCGACTTTGGGCTTTATTGATAGGTTTTTATTTACTATGCACTATGCATGACCTCGTGGGGACCTATTTTCAAACCGTGTGAGTACTCATTTCTCTCAAGATTCTCATCAGAAATGTCATACGTCAATGTGGAAACGCTGTTTTTAAAGGCCTCGAGGATTAAAATTCTTAGGAGGATATTAATTATCTCTAAATAAACCGTGAGAAACAATCAGTGAGTTTACACTGGCCCTTAGGCACGGCGCACTATAAAGGTGTTTCAACTCCCTGAAAAAAACATACCAAAACCGGTCGTACTTCCTAGCCAAAATCCGCTAGGTTCGCTAGTGTCGTTACGGCGGAAAATTGCGGCAATCTTTTTATCTGTCAGAAAAAGTGCAATCATAAAAATAGTTCTTCTATGGTGAAAATTCGAGTTTATATGAAATGAAAAATGACAAAACTATCAGAAGAAGTACAGATGAAAAAATTAATGGTCAACAAATAAGTTTATTGTTATTGATGGTTGCTTATAAGTGTTTTTTTTTTAAAGAAGCTACACTGATGTGTGCGTTTATACGATCAAAAAAAGTGTTCAAGATTTAATAAATATGCTCCAATTAAGTTACAAGTTGCTGCCAGAGACTTGCTACTAAATAAGTTAAATGGGGGTGTTTATAAAAAACAGCTGATTTTGTTTCGTGTTCAAATATTACCTTTGGTTTTGGCAAAAACAGCAATACAGTGGGTTACTGATTATAAAATGAAGAAGTGGACCTTAACTATGGTACTCAGATTGAAGCTTATTATTTTTAAAGTGAGTTTTGTGATTTTCATTGCCCAGATTAAAGATATTCAATAAACATTTAGTTTTATACCTACTATAATCAAATCCATACATAGTGATTGGAATTACAAACATTTCTGTGAAATAGGTAGCATTATACCAGAATAATGAAGTCTCACTGGACTGGAGTATATATGTTTCCAAAGATCAGTAAGTACCTATATCAATTATTATTATTTTTATTAATAAGTATCAGTAATAAATACATCTCAAAGAATAACAAGGTTGTAACTGTACTTTTTGGAAAAAATGAGATTGGTAGAATATATTAATTTGTTTTTGTGACCAATATGTTCATCTGTTAATTATCAATGTTGTGTTATCGAAGCACTAAAGTTATTCACATGGTTCTATCTGCAGGTACATAGAACTTATACAGTTTTTAGCAAGTGTCATTATAGTAGTTATATCTTTGTTATTCCCTAATCCATAGCAAATGTAGTCTCCATCCTCCACAATTATATTAAGATTAAAGGCCAGGTTTTTACCTCTGAATAAAGTTGAAAGTAACTACTTGCTGATTAGGCTATAGATTATACTTATGCATAACTTTACTCAGAGGTTAAAAAATCTGCCATTAAAAGAACAGTGAGTTTTAGAGCATAAACAGTATTAAATATAATGGGTATTTTTTTATTAAACTTTTTGTTTTTAAACAGTTTTGATTGAAAATTATAAAAAAAATGATAGAGGATACCTAGAAAGATTTATAATATAAAACAACATTTAAAAATTCTGAATTAACAAAAGTATGTATTTTTTGTTCCAAGCTTTGCCTCTGTTACCTAAACTAAATACTAGAAACACAGTTTTAACTGGCAGTTACTACTATGCTTTATCAAATATTCTAAAAAATGTAGGTCGCTTAGTTCTTTCTGAATTTTTTATCACTTAAGATTTTCTCTTAAATTAGAGTTAGAAACACAATGAAAATCAAACAAGTTAATGGCTATACAAACTTCAACTCCAAAAAATAACTACCTGTCTAGATACAATCTTGTTATCCTAATATGACAGATGTAGAAGATTTATACAAATGTGAAAAACATTTTTCGTTATGCAATGCTAGATGAAATCTTTAATTAGGCATCAAATTTTTTAAATGTTAGAGATAGTATGTAGGTATATAGGGAAAATAAAAAATATAATTATAATGAAGAGTAAGAACTTTTAAATTTTAATATAACTAGAACAAAATATTCAGTAATTAAAAATTTTGATAGGAATTAAAAATTTGCTCGAGTATAAATGTTGTGCTTGTTTTTAAGTGGTTTCGATTTACTTTAGGTTTGTTCCAACAATGCTCAGAAATGAGTTACTGACATCAGGATTCTGCACAGTAGTTTATTGAGACTGCAAAATTGTGTACTACCCAGTGGTTCGTTTCTGATCGTTGGAACAGACCTTTTATTCAATACATAATCGAACAAGTTAAATGTGTATTTGAAATTTTTTTAATTTTACAAATCTGGAGCTTGAATATGGATTTTCAAATGATGCACTTTTTGTAGTTTTTAATAATGCTTATTTTTTTTTTTAGTTTCTTGTTCATTTAATAAAGATGCTTTTTTGTATATGGGGTGATAATTTTTAAGCAGAGGCGTGCAGCACCCACAAGATCACTGCCAGAATTAATTCAAATGGGTAATCTAAAAATATGGAGTAGGTTCCCTGCACAAGATTTTCAAGAACTTGTAAATACAATGTTTAAATGAATTATTGCCGTTATCAAAGTTAAAGGTGATGAAACACTCATGAAAATTTGTAAATATTTAACCCTTTCAGTGTATTTGTCCCTCCAGAGGGACACTGTCTTAATTAACCCTGAAGTATACATCTGTTAATTTTGGTAGAATGTTTTTCTTTTTGGTTTATTTACTTTATTTGCATTACTTTCAAAGATTAATATTTAAAAAAATTTATTTTCATAGTAAATTTTTGTTTTTGTAATGTCCCTGAACAGGGACGTTATGTCTTGGAGTAATAAAAAATACTATGAAAATATTTTAATTTACTTAAAATAAACAAAGAAAACATACAATCTACTACAATGGTATTTTTTTTAATGAAAGTGGAAGTGAAAGGGTTAAAAAAATAAAAGAATTTATCAGATTTATGTATGATTTGTTCTTGTAGTGACAGTCACTATAAATATGAGAAGTGTGCTAATTGAAACGGGACAGGGCTCATATAGTTTTATTTAAAAAGTAAACCTTGTCATTAATTAAATATAAATGATTATTATATTATTGAAATATATAATGTAAAACAAATTGTTGTAATGTTTTTCTGAAATCAGAAGTGTTGTCAGGTTTGTTACTGTCTGCTGCTAACTGTGACGTGTACAAGCGAACATAATAAACCTACTTATTGAGTACATTAATATAAAAAACTCATAATAAATCTGGAAACTATACATTTGAAATTTTCCTACTTATTTTTTCATTACTGCTATTATCCAATAGAACAATTCCTATGCTTTTATTTAATATTTCATTTTCCACAAATAAATATAAAAAAATAATTAGTAAAATTATAAAATGAGTTCCAATTAAATAATGAACTATATTATTAATTGAAATTGTTAATATAAGAAATGAATAAATTAAGAAAATAAGTGTAATAATGGGAAATGTGTAAATTGTATTTATTTCTAATTTTAAATAATTTTGTGTGTATTGTTAATTTTCTTTCTAGTGTAAAATTAATAATTTTAACAAAAATTTAATGAGATGTTTTATTTGTGTTAGAATCCGAATACAATAAGAATAACGCTGCTGTCATAATGATTACTCTGAATTTCAAATACATAGTATCTATAACTTATCAATAAATAAATATTAAGTTGTTAGGTATAAAAAAATATTTCCTATATTCCTAAAAGATTAACACTTCACCTCCAGTGGATAACTTCGGTAACTGTATCAGCAATACTTTCCACATTCTCGTCTCCTTTGAGAAGTAGTCCCATCATAAGTAATAAAAGCAGGAACAGCATTTTTTAGGTAGTTTTTTTTTTATATTTGCACTGCACATTAAATAATGGTAATCTTATAATTGAAGGGTCTGGAAATGCACCATTCTTGTTCCGATAGTTGGAATCCTAACATATAGTTGCAAGGTTATATTTAATTATTTGGAACCAGGGAATAAGCATATTGAAATAACTTTTACTTTTTATCATGTATTTACCAATTTTTACATTGATTAAAAATAAAAAGAATCTGTAGATTTTCAAGTAATAGGATCGTTATTTTTAACTTCAAATTTGTGTCAAATTCTAGACTTCAGTGCAGAATGGTGTGAATATGCGGATTTCTAGACTCGTCAACTACAAGATAACCTTAAATAATTATTAGGTACATCAGAAAAAACATTGTTTAAATTATTAACCAGTGTATGTACACATTATTCAATACACAAATACCAACATCTACGACCCCAAACTACATTTATTTACTTAAAGGGATTAACTCCTATAAAAATACAGAATTGAAAAATCCTTAATATTTCTTACAACTCAAATTTGTATTAATTTAAAATCAGTACTTCTATAAAAACCTAGTAAATACATTTAAAGAACTGGAACAAAACACATTCGGGGATGATTATTATTAAACAAATGTATATTTAAACACTTGAAAATAAAAAGGCTACAAGTAAAATAAATTTATCATAGTATCTATTTGATTCTTATAACCAGATACAACTTTCTAGCATTATAATCAGGCTAAAAGGAATAAGTCAAAGATTTTATTTATTCGCAGGGTCAGAAAAATATCAAAAGAAATAGGTACCTTGTGTATATGAAATTTATACCATGAACACATTATAATAGGGTCCAAGTCATAACATTATTAGTACCAAGGGGACAGGATAAATAATACGAAATATTTATATAGTAAAACTTTATACTAATAATTATTTTTATTATAGAAAA